TTAATTTAATTTAACTTTTTTCATAATTTTATAATTTTTGTAATGTTAAATTTTGTATCTTCTGTCTTTTATATTTTTTTAATTATCTGTTTTTTTTTCTTACTATTTTTTAATTTTTGTTGTCTTTAATTTTTTCATTTTAACTTTTATAAAAATCTTCTCAACTCGCCTCAATTATTTTCCCACCCTCAGGTGAGCGCAATTACTGGCGCCTTTTGCGACATACGCCCACCGAATTGGTGTGTTAGTGAGCCATACAAAATGTTTTTACAAAATCAGGAGCTACTTTGGAATCCCGAACTCAATTACTATATCAATTTGGTGCGGCGCCTATCGGATAGTAAGTTCACCACCCTTGTTTATGCGGAACTCACCACATTGATTAATTCACCTCTTACACTCTTTTGCAGCAATAACGGGCAAGAATGTCTTCTTCAACACTGACTGGCGTTTCAATGAATTCCCCAATGCACCAGCGCATGCGCTGTACGTAACGTGTGTGGAGTTGCTCAGCTTGCCGATCGCACCATCGATCGTCGCCAACAATGTGGTGGATGTGATTGTGAAGGGCTACTCATTGATACCGCAAAAGGAGATACACAATTACATCAATGCTGTCGGCAGCATATTGGCGGCGTTGCCTGAAACGCATTGGTCCATTATCTACGATCGTTTGCATGATGCTCTAAATTCGCCAAAAATGATCAAATGGAATTACCGCTTTTCGGCATTCGAATTGTTCAATTTTAAGACTGTCTGCGAATCTATGATCGAGAAGAGCTACGTGTTAATATTGGCTGTGGCGCATGCTACTTTCCATCACATGGGTGGCTTTAAGTTGGCAGCAATGACCAAGTGCGTAATTTCTTTAATTTCTATATATATATTATTTATTTAATATATTTTTTTTTTATTTCTCTATTACTTATTTAAACATAACAGATATATAGCCGAGAAGCTGAAACCTTGCGTACGCACCGAACAGCAGCTCGTCTACCTGTTTCATGTGTTCGGACCGTTTTTGCAGCGCATCGACTTGGAGAAACCCAACACGGTGGCCGGTATTGCCATCATGATATACGAAATGCTCGATGTGGTAGACAAGGCGCAGGGGCCGCTTGAGTACTTAGATACGATTTGTGATTTTCTGTATGTATTAGTGTTTGCCTTGTCCACGCTTGCTTCTTTTTAACTATTCCTTTTTGTTTCTCTTGCTATTAGCTATCATATCAAGTATATACATGTCGGCAATGTCATCAAAAATGAGTCCGAGGTGATTATAAAGCGACTGCGACCTGCCTTGCAGTTGCGCCTGCGCTTCATAACGCGTTTGAATATTGAGGATATCAACACCGAAAAGAAGTAAGTATTGTTCAACCCAAAGTCCAATCAACTGATTAAGGGAGGAGTCGGCTTGATTCGTGTGAAACAAGACCCGTTTTTATGATTTTATTTTTGATGCAACAGCTTAACTCGATTGAATATTAAGTTTGACATGATATATGTAACTCCTAAAAGGAAACGTCGTAAGACCTACAAAGTACATATATAAGTGATCAGCGTGACAAGCTGAGTCGATTTAGCCTTGTTCGTCTGTCCATCTGTGTGTACCAGAACTAGTTTCTCTGTTTACGAGATATTGACCTGAAACTTTGCACACGTTTATCGGAATTATCGGTATCGGATCAGCACAGCATATAGCTCCCATACAAACTGAACGATCGGAATCAAGTCGTTGTATGAAAAACTTTTTTTTTTACTAGATATCTTTTCGAAATTTGGCGTAGATAATTAACTAAGGCATTGCTCCAATCTCAGAAGAAATAGTTCAAATCGAACCACTCTAGCATATAGCTCCCATACAAACTGATCGGTCAAACTCAAACCTTTGTATGGCCATCTTCGTTATATGAAAAGATATCTTCACGAAATTTGGCATAAATTACTATCTCCGCAAATATTGTTCAGATCAGAACACTATAGCATATAGCTGCAATGTAAACTGACCGATCTAAATTTTAATATTTCACTTTTTGGGAGCACTTTACAGAAAAAAAACGAAATATTTAGCAAAAAAAAAAACGCAAAATTTGTTATTGTAGAATGAAATAAAAAAAATCTATTTTACCTCGTAAATTATGCACAGAAATAGTGTTTAAAAATTCGAAAGGGTTGGTGCAGTAGCTTTTGAAGTTTTCAGGCTCGCCGACTTTGAAAACGTGGGTCGTGCGGAAAATGTTTTAAGCTTTTGAAATCTGAAACGAGTAACAGGTATAAAAATACTCGTAATTTTGTAAATTTTTCGCCATTCTTCTTTAAAAACCCGTCATAAAACAATATTTCCGACTTGCAGTCTCCAAAAAGCGATCAATCCACAACAACAACAACAGCAACATCAAGCACCGCTGCAACAACAGATTGCTGCCGCCGCGCAACAGCAAGCACAGCAGCAGCAGCAACAACAACAACAACAACAAATACAGCAGCAGCAACAACAACAAAAGCCGAATATGCCAAGCGCACAGACCCAACAACAGCAAATGCAAGCGAATGTCAATGTTCAGCAGCAACAGCAACAAAATGTGCAACAACAACAACAACAGCAGCAACAAAACGTCCCAATGGTTGGTGTGGTCGGCAACGTGCCAGGCAATCATCTGCAAATGTCAAATTATAATTTAATGGCACAACAACAGCAGCAGCAGCAACAACAACAACAGCAGCAACATCAACAACAACATATGTCCACAAATATTGGCCAACACCAACCGCAACAAATGCAATATTTTATGCAAAATATGCCGCCCCGCTACTAAATATCATCCGCTATATATTACTTAGCATCAAATAAGTAATAACAGTTACATATATATTTACAAATGTCGATGTCTTTCGTCATCACTCGATTATGTGTTTTTAATTTTTAGTATGATTGTGTGTTTGTACTATACATATAAATAAAATATATATTAAGAAATCTAATATTACGAAGTGCTACAGCAATTATAAACATAATTTATAGCATATTAAATATCGGTCGAATCTAAATGCAACATTTTAAAATTTACTGTATTTATTGATAAGCCATTATTGCCATTTTTTTATATCCTTAATAGGGTATATTAAGTCAGCCAGTAAGTTTGTAACACCTAGAAAGCAACGTCGGATACCCTATAAAATATATTTTTAAGATGGCTGAGCCGAAACATAATACACAAAAACACCGCGCCGTTAGCTCTGCTTTCTTCAAAATGGATAAGGAAATATCTAATGAGATCAAACAAACAGTCGTCGCACTCGCGACTGGCCTCCCACGTAATTTCGTCTATGTTGGAACTAGCAACTATCAACAACGTCAGCGTCGGAATCTAACGCAGAATAACTCTTGCCAACATGTGCTAATCGGACTGAGTAGGCAATTGAGAGGTAAAGTCCTCTTTCGACGAACAAAGACAAAATGCTACAGGTCCATCATCACCCCCGTCTTGCAATATGGTGCAGAGGTATGGACGATGACAACATCTGATGAGTCGACGTTACGCCTTTTCGAGAGAAAGGTTCTACGGTCGTTTTATAGTCCTTTTGCGAATTTAAACGGTGAATTCCACAGATATATCGAGATATACGACGTCATTGACATAGTTCAGCGAATTAAGAGATAGCGGCTATGCTGGCTAGGTCATGTTGTCCGAATGAACGAAAACACTCCATCTTTGAGAGCATTCGAGGCAGTTCCCGGAGGAGGAAGCAGAGGAAGACCTCCACTCTTCTAGCCTTAAAGACCATTGTTTTACAAACATATATATGTACATATGACATTCAAAGCGTATTACTGAAATCGCAAAAAGAAACTCGAGTTTGAGAAGTGTTGTGACGATACTCAGAAGCGCTGTCATAAAGACATAATATCTCATGGGTACCGTTTTGAAGCCGACAACATTGATGTAGACAAATGTGTAAATATTAAGAAAAAACCAGTCAATTTTCGTTATTTTTGAACACACCCCGTATCTGCTTACCAATTTAAAAAATTTTAGTATCGTACACATTGTAATCGCCCAATTCCAACTGTATATCGTTCGAAATTTTATTTTTCAACTGGTTATATTCAATCAAGTTTTTGTTTACTTTTTCTTTCTGTTAGCATTTTCAAACTGAAGAGACTTGTTATATTATTTTTTTATGACATACTATATATGTATATTGTTTTTGTACATTTAGTTTATAATTTTTAAAGAATTTTTATTTTAAAGATTTTTAACGGTTTCGGATTTTTTATCGCGACGAAAATGTATCGGAAAATTTGGCACAAGCCTCTACATCGTCGAAAAATTGTAAGTACTGAAAATGTACATACATATGTATCGAAATAAAGCCAATCCATTTGTTCAACAAACCGAAGAGCGGGTCCGCAATTATTTTTGGTTCCACTTTCCAATTAAAAAATAAATAATGTAATGAAGTATATGGAAATGATAAATAATTTCTCTGTGTAAATTATATTTCAAAAAAATGTATTTTGCTAAGTTTGCAGGACTGTACTTAATTACTATGCCAAAAATTAACGCGATCTGTGAACTAGTTTGTTTACAGCAGCTGCTTAAGTCGATACGCCTTAGTAGAGAGTTGCGCTTTTTACAATGGATAAAAATATCGCAGAATTTGTCTCAAATTTTGTATTTCTAACCAAATTTCGTTTGCGGAATCGTTGCAAATGTTGGAAAATGCTTACAGTGATTCCGTCCATTGAAGACGTGCCTCGGGCTGGACGATCTTCGACCTCTTCAAGTGATGAAAATATTAAAAAAAAAAAGTGAAAGATATAGTGCTTGAAAATCGTTAGGTAAGCGTGAGAGAGATAGCATGGGAACTCGACAACTCTCGCAAACATGCTTAATCGTACGAACTCCAATTCCACATTTATGGAGAGTTTGACGTGCAAACAAACGAATCAAAATCGAAAATCACGAAGGTGCTCACTTTTTTTCAATATTCGTGGTTTTCTGCATCATGAATTTGTTCCGGAGGGACAGACGGTCAATAAGGAGTTCTCTTTGGCCGTATTGCGGCGTTTTCGGAGCATGATAATGCACCATCGCATCAGTCGACCGAAGAGATAAAACAAAATTCTTTAAAGGAGCTGACGGCCATCCCAAAAAATGCTTATGAAAAGTGTTTCGTTGGCAAAAGTTATATACGATCTCTGGTGGGGATTACTTTGAAGGCGACAAAATAAATATTGATGAATAACTAAGTACATATTTTGAGTTCTATTTACAATATCCGGATACTCCTTTGTCACAATATATTTTATATTTATTATTATTCATAAATATTAGATTCTTTAAAAAAATTGTATTCATTGTTTTTACTTTCAAGAAACAGTGGAGGCAGATGCCGCTCATTAGCAAAATTATTTACTACCAACAGCCCTTTATCGATCATTTGGTTAACACTTGGCTGGAGCCATTACCTTTTCCGACAATACTCAAGGTGTTGGTCACCTTCATTTTGGCAATATTCATCCTGCTACCGATCTTATATCCAGCGATCATATTCATTTGGTCCTACGCTGAGGTGCAGTATATCATCGAAAAGTGAGTATAACAATCTATAACGCTTACAGTGAAAACACCACACCACACTTACTAAAATTTAACACTGCCTCACTTCTTCAACTTGAATTGAATAAGGTTGAAATCGGTCGAGCCAGTCCCCGGATATATGTTATTTTACTTAAGCGAGACAAAAACACTAATTTATTTATTTTGCATGTTTCAGCCACTACGACATAGCCTTCCCGGATAAACTGAATGTGCTCGGCTATCTGCACCGTCTCTACACCTTCCGCATTGCCAATGAAAAATACAATCTCTTTCTGGTGTTGTATTTGGAGCGCTGGCGCATAGTGGCCACGGCGATCGCCTCAACAACTGACTATATACGGCTGGCGCTGTGTCTGGTCGTCAACACGCAATAGAGAAACTACTTTATTGTACATATATTAGTGGCTATACACAATTAAAAACTTTAAAAAAAGAAAAATTTTTAAATAAAAAAAAAATATTTTAAAA